ATCAGATCTCTTAATGGGTACTGGTCCCTTGGGCCAGGCAAATAAAGAGCCATCTCAGGTCATTTAGCAGACAGGCCAGGGTGCTTTCAGACCATTCCTGACCAGGAAGTAATTAAGTGGCTTCCTATTTGTATTCTCCTGAGCTCCACTTGTCTGCAAGTGCTTGTTAGTTGCAATACCAGCCAGACAGCGTTTGCAGCTCAGCAGCCAGCTCTGTATTAAGCCCCAAGGTCCAGTTCAGCTCTGCAACTGGCTATGAGGCATTCCTCGACCTCGTCTGGAGGCAGTTTGATGTGCTGGCCATTAGGCACCAAACCCACAAAGCCATAGAGGTGCTAGAATCACGGCTGAGATCCACTGACACCGGAGACATAGCCCTAAATCCTCTCCAGATCTCAGCAGCCTGGGGTACCTGCTTAGCGGCAACCTCCTTCTCTCCTGGAGGAGATGCTTGCCCAGTGTTTCCCATCCCTCCCAGTGCTTTGATGCCAGGCATGGCAATGACTTTCCAAGGTAAAACACTCCTTGTAGTGCATGGGAGGGAGAGGGCAACTCCTAGGTTATCCTGGAGGGTGAGCGGAAGAGGGAGAGGGTGAGACTGGTGGTGGAGAAGGTTTCCTGGAGTTTTGATCTGACCCAGGCTAAAAAGGAACATCAGTTCTGAGCAGCCCACGTGTGCAACGCGCGCCCTGTGCCCTTGCCTACCTCTGGCAGCTTGACTCGTCCTTCCTGGAAGGAGCAGGAGCTGGGGTCATGAGTGCAGACGTGGCGGTACTTGCACCAGTGACACCGGTACGGGCTCTCCACACATGACAGACACCTGGAAATAGAGAGAAGAGTAGTTACTTGGACAGCCAAGTCCTGTCAGCCAACAGGGCAGACCTTGAGGCTGATAACATTTCTCAGAGGGAAATACAGCCCAGAAAACAGTGCTTTTGCCAGCACTAGCAGAAGGCCAGAGGCTCTGAACCAACCCTACACCGTCAGGTCTCAGGATGGTGTTGGACCTGCCATGGCCTGAGCTGCTTGTCACTGCAATCACAAGCGTATCATACTGAATAGATAATTTAAATTGCATTCATATAATTGTTAACAGAGTAATAATAACTAGATGCTGTGTTTTGGTTGCCCTGTTACAAGCTTTAATCAGACTGCCAGTAGATTCTTGACTTCATGCATAACAAGTGTTCCCCCTTTTGACCACTAAGAAGTCCTGAGTGTAACAAAAATGACAAGAACAGGGGATGGGTGGCAACTGCTACAGCCTCACTGCCTTCACACTGAACTGCACCAGTGCCCTGGGAGATGTGAACACCTTGCAAGAAGGTGTCCAAGGGCTGGTGGGAGAAGTAATGTCCACGGAGGGCAGTCCTTGTGCACCAGCAGCCCCATCTGGCCAATCCTCCCACTCCCACACATGATACGAAGCCCAGGAACAAACTGTGCACCACAGTCAGAAAGACAAGGATAAAGAAAGGAATTTTCTTCCTTTGTGTCCCACAGGCTTATTAGCATGCGTTCTGCCCAGGGCAGTGGGGCTCCTGCAAATATCTGAACTGCATTCTTCTTTTCTTCATCTCATTGTAGAAGGAAAGGCTATTGTAGCAGCTGCTCGGGAAGCAAAGGACATATTTAGGACATCAGCTATTAACGGTGTAGGAAAGAGTCATTCCTTCCATCTTACAAGGTTTTGCTCTTCTGTCCCCCAGGGACCCCATAGAGCAAGAGCTGCAAACACCTCTTCTGGCTGTCTTACAGCACTAACTTACACCCACATCACTTCTTTTTAAAAAAAATTTAATACAATATCTGCTCACCAGCAACCAAACTGAGCCATAACAAGCTCTCTGAACAAAAGAAGCACTAGATGGAAGCAGCTCCTGGTCGCTCACACTGTTGGATATCTTCCTGTAGCTGCAGGCTCTGAAGTACCTGGAGGGGACTTGGTGGGGCAGGGGGGTAATTCTCCCAGCCCTTATGTGCCACTGGGGTTTTAATGGGCAGGGGCGAACAAAACGCATCCGGCAGAGCTTGGCTGATCCCACCTCTCCCCCCTCTCTGTGAAACCTCACTTAACTCCAATCCACTTTCAGCTCTTGGTACAGCGAGCTGTTCTTCAAATTGGTAACAAGTGCTTGCTCTGATACATCAAATTAAAAATGGATAATGTATTATAGTTTGTCAAGTAAGAAACCAAAACATGCCATAAATATTTAACACCACCATCTCTCCTGCTCTCGCCCCTCAACACTTGCTTTCTGACACTGTCAAAGCAGCAGGAACATAGAAATACTATTTGCTTTTCCTTGTGAATTGCTGAGCCGCAGTAATTATCTGCTTTTGGCACTTCTGATGGCTCAGTGGTGGGGACAGAGCTTCTCAGCCTTGCTCAGGGGTGGATCAACCTGCTAGAAGAGCATCTTTCTGCAGGGAAGCTGCAGACCTGCTCCAGTGGGGCAGCTCCTGAGCAGTCCTGGGTGCCAGCTAAAGCCCAGAAGAACGGGATTCAGGGCAGGAACGGAGCTCTCAGGATGGAAAGATGGTCTTGATGGAATGAACTGTGTGTTCCCTGCTCCGTTCACAACATACAAGAACCAGAAACTCCTGTCTTTCTGGATCTGAGGGTCCAAGCCTATGCCAACGACCTGGGGTAGGCACCTGCTGGTGGGACTGAGCATGAATGAGGGTTGAAGGTGCCCATGGATGAGGATTGGAGGTGCCCGTGTATGAGCTAGATCCAGCCATCCACAAAAAAACTGCTTAACAGGAAGAAGAAGGGGCCATTTGCTGAAGTCATGACTCACTTGACTCAGTTCTGTGGCAAACTCCCACCAATGTGACGTTCCTCTGCCTGAGGGATACATGAGGATGTATCGTTCCTCAAGCTAATGCCTTCCTGCAAAGGAGGCTCAGCAGCAGTAACTGGTCTTCTCTCGGTCTTCTTACGACGGACCCCACGTGGCAAACTCCCACCAATGTGACGTTCCTCTGCCTGAGGGATACATGAGGATGTATCGTTCCTCAAGCTAATGCCTTCCTGCAAAGGAGGCTCAGCAGCAGTAACTGTTTGGTCTTCTCTCGGTCTTCTTACGAGGGACCCCACCGTGCTGACTGTCACACAAGTTACCCTGACCTGTGGTCACCTCCACACCTAACCAGCTTCCTGAGGGACACATGCCCCAGTCAGCAGTGGGTTCTGTGGCAGATCCAGGGGTGGAATGGAAAGCAGGTATCAAAAGAAATGAACATACGAGTTGTGGACGCTGCAGTTGTAGAAGACGAAGCTGGTACTGGCAAAGGTCATACCCGTTTCCTTGGACTTGAGCTGAAGCTGGACAATGTGATGGTCTCCTGAGGAAAAAATAGACACATCAGTGTGTGACTGCTTTGTTAGCCTAGCCGAGCTTTGTTGGCCATGCCACCAGTCTGTCCCACAGTATCTTGGGTAGTTTATCCTCAATAGATGTAGAAAGTGTAGTAAAATCCTTCTAGAGCTCAGATCTCCAGCAGGTGCATCTCCCCCTCTTATGGTACTGGGATGATGGAATATTTCTTCACTACTGGAAATCATTGTATCTGGGAGTACAGTCTGGGCTGGATGATGATGGCCGGTCTAGACCACACCTCATTAATTTCAAAAATGTGGTGACTGAAGTCACCAAGTAGGAAAGCTAAGCTCAAAGGATGGAATTAGGAGGTTGTTAAGATGGAGTACTGGCCCTAAAGTTCTTCCTTGCCAATGGTTCACTTGATGTCCCCAGAAGGAAGAGACTTGTGGAAAATTTGAGAGCTGGCCCAGACATTGGTGGCCTGTGCATACACTGTCTGAAGGATAAACATACCTGCATTCCTAAGAGGATAAAGAAAAATCTACTTTCTCCTCACCCTTATTTAACATCTCTGAATAAGGTCCAATACCCAGGACAACCGTGCCTGAAAAAGGCCACCTCCAGATCCTGCCCCCAACCAGAGGTTATACCCCGAGAAAGCAGGGTAAAGGAATGAGTAAGGATAGATACCATAATGGTGAGGACAGGCCAGGGGCTCACTGTCTGCAGCCTGGCAAATGCTGATGAACAGGAAGATTCCCATGTGAACGGTTCTTCCAGGTTCACTCACCCCATGCACCCCAAGGTCCCTTTACAACAGCTTTTGGGTGCAGAGAACCCATCTCAGTGTGAGAGATATCCACAAGCCCATGGTGCTTTCGAAAGGACCCATCTGCAGCAAAACTTACACCTCAGCTCCTATGCACCATCTCCTCATTCCCCTTCCCACTGCTCCCATGCTGGCCAGTCAACCGCTACCTCTTCCCACAACCCCAAAAGCCCTGTTCAGAGCCCGTCAGCTGTGGGTAATGAGTGGGCACAGTAACTGCAACAATTTGATGGGGAAGGGACCCATGGTTAATTCAAGACTTTGACCTGGCTGGCCCTTTCACCTCTATTATTTTCCTCCTCACCTGAAAGGTTCATTAATCAATCAAGCCAAAGCAAACTTGACAATTTATCGGGTGCGCTCGCCAGCGTGCACGCCCACCCCCCCACCCGCCCACACGGGCACGCACAGACGCAGGCCCGGAGAGCACACTTCACTAAACACATTTTGCTGCCAGTGCTCGACTCTGTTGCCCATCTGCTGCCGCCGGCTTTGACAGCTCTGTTAACCGCTTCGTATTTAACAACTTTGCCAGCGTCTTGCATATATTTTAAAACAGGATGTGAGGGTTGGACTGCGCCTGGGGCTCAGACGTGCTACAGAGCTGGTTCAAATCCAGCTTCTGGCGCTACATGTGGAGGGCTTGGTCTTTGCAGAGGTGAGGAGCACCAGCTGCTGAAGTTGGTACAAGCCACAGGTGCCCGGCTTCTCTGAAAACCATGCTTTACAGGAATCTCTCTCTCTTGTCCTGTCTCCAGCTTCCACTGCTATTTTTGTTTTCTCATTGATGGGACAGATGTCCATACCAAAGAAACAGTTTTTTGGCATCTCTCTGGGTAGGCAAACGTGTGATAACTCCATGGCACCTGAAAATGCTAATAGCTCTCTGGGGGCTTTGTTTGAGACTGGAATGCAGTTGGGTGCGGTTAGGGGAGAGCAGAGATCACAGTGACGGGTCATATCATTTCATTTTCATTTTCTGAGACAAATTTTACAGAAAATTTTCACAAGAAGCCAAGGACAAAAATGGCAGCAGCCCCTCTGCACCTCTCGAGGTGATCAACAGGGCCAAATCCTTGCAAAGAGCCACAGGTGCTCTTGAAAGTACCTGGAAAAGTTGTTACCAAAGGAAAACAAAACAGGACAGGGAGTTGTGAGTGGAGGGGTCATCCTTGGAGAAAAGGTAGTTTTCTGCACTAGATGACTTTGGGAGAGGAAGCCAGTAGCAAACGTGGAATAGCTGAAAACCCTAAAGGCTGACAAGAGCCCAGGCACACACATCTAAATCTGGGAGGAGCAGGATGAAATTACAGACAGGATCGTTCAGGCCCGCAGGGCTTTCTGACTGCTGCGTGGGACGGGATATATTGAGAGCACGTACAGCCTCGTTCCCTGGATTGTATAACACCAGCCTTGGCAAAAAGTGAGCAAATATCCCACATTCATTTCTTGCCTTTGCTAGGTATATGCAACTGCCACTCGGTGGCAGTCTGAAAACATATAGTACCACACATACAAGCACCTTAATGCAGGTGGTGGCTTTGCAGCCCAGTGCTTGCGTGCATAAACACACACATTCAGACAACGTGCAGCTCCACCAGCACTCACGGGCACAGCGTCCCACCTACTCCCTGTGCTTTGCATACCCCATCCTCGGGCTTTCACAAGCCAAACTCTGCTCTGGGAGAAAGCAGAAGGAGAGACATGGGGGTGTGGAGTGAGGAAGGGAGGGAGAAGTGGTACAGATTGAGGAGCTGTGAGATACTCACCGTTCTCTGTGATGATCTGGGGCACCTCTTTGGCAGCTGGTGAGATGCACTGGATCTGACTGCCCACCACCAAGCCATCCATCTCCGAAAGGTCCTCAAAGGTACAATTGACTCCTGCTGACAGCTCGGGGACGTTGTAGGTCTCCAAGACCAGCTGCAAGCGGTGGGAGGGAAGAAGAAAGGGAAGAAAAAAAAAAAAGAGAGAATACTAAGCTGAACAACAGAGCTGGGTCAGCAGGAGAGAATTACACTGGAGAGGTTGGACAAAGAGCCTCTTGCTAGAGAGAGCATCCTCCTTCAACAGAAAGCAGCGATTCAGGAGAGGGATGTGTGTGCGGAGGGGGAAGGGGATGAGATGCTGATGCCGACATAAGTGGTACGTGGCTATGCGGGGACAACTGCACTGCACCCCAGTGCTGGCTGGGTCAGTGGAGGGGAGGGAGTGCTCACTGTCTCTCATGCAAGTGTAAGGTTAGGCAGGGGGTCTTTGGAGCCAGCCGTGAAGACCAGGGCTTTGGTGGCCCCGAGGCACGCGGTTTCTGAGGAAGGTGACTACTACTCACAAGAGGCACTCTGCAGACTACAGAGAAACTGTAGCGCTCCAGTCTAACTCTCTACGGCCTGCTCTCCTAGCATCAGCAGATGGGGGAGCGCTCTGTCACCAAGTTCCTGTGTAAGGAGAGTCTAGTTACAGCCTTCAGTCCGCCACAAAAAAAAAACCAAACCCGCTGTCTCTAGAGGCACAGCAAACCTCTCCTGCCCATCCCACCAAAGAAAGAGTTGGCTCTGGGGACATGTTGTATTGGGGCTCCATACCCCATAAAAAAAAAAAAAAAAAAAAAAGAAAGAGGAATTGGCCATGGTTTTAAAATTCACAACACCCACTGGCATTGCTATATCGTTCGTTCACGGTCATGAAAAAAGGAATCTTTTTTCCACCATCTTCATTTGCTGGAGAAGAACCCTCATGCTTCTAACTTCCCAGACCTGCTAATGTCCTGCACCACTGTGAGACTGAGGGTCCTGCCCAGCCCACCAAACCATGTCCGAACACAGAGAGGCATCCTAGGTACTTTTAGCATCTGCTGATGACTTAGTAGTTTAGTCTAAATTTAGCATTTTTGCGACCAAACACTAGAGCCAACCACTTGACACAGGCACAAATGCAGAAGTTCTCCACACTTGCTTCCTCCACGAGCTAGCGGAGGCCCCATCTGAGGTGACAGCCACCCAAAGGAGACACAAATGCATGCTGAATTGTTATTTCTACCAGCACAATGAACAGAGGAGGTCAGTTCAGGTGACAAAGCAGGAGAGAGTAACAACATAACATAATGCCTGCTGCTCCCCCACACTCTGTTTTCTTCACTTAAAGAAAGCTCTCTCTGAGCATGGATGATGCTGAATGAAAGCGTTCCATGCAGAAGATGACGCCAATGGATAGACCAGTAGCGCTTGGCCAAAAAAGTCATGAGTCAGAGCGCAGTCTGAAGAGACAAGAAGTCCTACATCCCACACACCTGCTCTGGAGCTGCTGCAATGTGGAAAGAATGGAGCCTTCCCCCAGCAAGTATCTCTTCACAGAGATCTCAGAGCCCTGGACTGAAACAGACTCAGATGCACTTTCACAAATCCCTGTTAGCGTCTGAAATTTAAAAGATGGGTTGGTCACACAGATGCCTTCTCTGCCTCCGTGGGCAAGAACTCAGTACTATTGACCCTTTCCTAGAATTCGAGCAAGACTCAGTAAGGACATCACCAGCCAAATCTCCACTGGTGCTTCCCTCCTGGTTTGCCAAGAGACTATCTGTGATGAGTGTGGATGAACTGGTTCACCAGTTTATCTGGGACTAGGCTGAGACTCCCATCAAAATGTTAATGCAGATTATTGGGCAACAGTCATATAATGTCAACTTCTGCTCCCAGCAGCTCTGGGTTGACTCGCCTTGGGAGTAACCTAGAGGTAAAGGTCTTTTATTCTGTTATCAATTTCAATCGCCCTGAGCCAGCTAGTCCCCTGGGATTTATTCCAACATGAAAGAATTCAGTGACTACTGAGAGAATAAGAAAAAGAAACCTTGAACTCCCAGAAGAACAAAGGACTTAAGATGTCTCAGATCAGTTTTGTTTGAAGCCTAGGAAAGTAAAGTCACAGCAAAGTTAAGAGGCTGAAACAAAGCAGCAATGATTGGACATACAGGCTTTGAAAGGCTGATTTCATTACCACTGAAGAAACCCTACCATTTCAAAACTTGTCACCTGGAAGATGCCTGGCAGCTGCACCTTGAGCAATTCCATTCAGACCTTTCAGGATGTGGAGGTAGTGACCATCTTGTCCAGAGATGGAGCTTTTGGGGCCTGGGTTATCAGCTCAATTCCAGCCCAAACTAGTATGGCCAAAAAAGACAGAGCCCTATTAGCCCGAATGAAATAGGTGTCTGCCTCTTTCCTGGACTGTGTTGGCATCTTGCCACATAAGGTGTCACTGGCATGAGTCAGGAGAGCAATCACAAGCTGGTTATATCTTCTCCCTAGTGAACAGTGATAGGACAAGAGGGAATGGGAATGGGTTCAAGTTGTGCCAGGGGAAGTTTAGATTGGACATTAGGAAGAACTTCTTCACCGAAAGGGTGGTGAAGCACTGGAATAGGCTGCTGAGGGAGGTAGTGGAGTCTCCATCCCTGGATGTGTTTAAAAAACAGGTGGATGTGGCACTTCAGGAGATGGTTTAGTGTTAGGGTGCTGTAGGACTGTAGGTTGGACTTGATGATCTTAAGGTCCTTTCCAACCTTGAGGTTTCTATGACTCTGTGATTCAACAGAGAATTCTTCCCTCAAGCCCAAAAAATGATCAGGTTCACCTGCTGCTTTGCCAGCATTCACAGAATCACAGAACGTTAGGGGTTGGAAGGGACCTTGAGAGATCATCTAGTCATCCAGCATTCACTGTGTGGCTTTGCTGGCTGCTGACTTGGGTAGCTCGAGGCCATAAAGGTTAAATCTTGTGGTGAAGAAGGCCGCAAGAGATAGCATGAACCTCAGCAGCCTTAGGTTCCTCTACGTAGCACCCCTAGTGCTGGAGCTGGAGCTTGGTTGAGTTCTTGGTGGCTTTAGGAGACATTTCTACCCAAGATGATGTGAACTTGGAGTTTAGCAGAATAACTTATTGGTCTCCATACTTCTAGAAAGTAATTTCTAATCATGATAATATCCCTTACCCAAAGTCCATGCTCAGCTAGAAACAAATCTTTCTTTCTCTCAGAGAAGTAAACCACTACACTGTGTGCACACAACGCTTTCAGGGCACGGAGTCCCTTCAGACCTGCCCTCAGCTACTCACAGCAAACAGGGAATCCTCCTTCCACACTTCTAGACAGAGGATAAAAAAGGCCAAAATGTTCTCCCATGGCATATTTTTGATCTGTGCCTGGAAAGTGTCTGGGGAATTTAATGGACTCTGGAGAACCTCTTGCATCAAACTGCCAGTCCTTCCTACTCATGCTGAAGCCAGGTTGCACATACCTGGGTCTGTCAGACTGCATGGGCAGATTAAACTTGAGGGGGGCAAGGATTAATGTTCCTCACCAATACGTTGTACTGGGAGACGGAGATGTTGTTGGGATGCACGGTGAGCCGGACACATTGCTTCATCTCCGAGGCGAATCTCCGAGGCTCGCTGGAGCGCTCGCACCGCTCCTTTCTCGTGCACCTGAGCAAACGGGAACAAAGAGGGACAGAGTTAACACAAAGCCAAGCTGAGGACAATCCTGGGACATAGGAAGATCAATCATTTTGGATGGAAGGTCAACACTGTACCCTATGGAGCTGTACTAGCCAGAAAACCACACTCGTGTCTTGGAGTGCTCCAACTCCAGTGCTAGGAAACATAGGACCGTTTGGCGGGCTGGGGAGTTGCAAGGATGCTATGAAAGGAGGAAGGGTGATGGGGGAAAGCCGCATCCCTTGGGTAGAATGTAGAACTGTAGAGGTGCTCTCTCTCTCTCCCCACACAACAGCTACTTCAAGGCTGCTGGTCCCTCTCTGATGGGAAGGAGCAGTTGCTCAGTAACTGCTAATTAGCACCTGGTAGATTAAGAGTTTTTTGGAAACTGGTTTGAAAGTGCCTGACTAGAGGTATCCAGCCTCAAACCTTTAAAAAAATCTGTTGTTCCCAATTAGTGACAGTTTAGTGAAAGTGGTGGGTACACGGCACCTGGGCTGCACAAACCCACAAAGCTCACACCACGCACTGATTGTTGTCAGTGCTTTCAGCGCTGTCACCGTCTCCTGATTTATCTGCCTGGTGTAAACACAAGCCAGCCGTGTGAATTGGTAGCGGCGGGCCCCTTTTCTATCCAGATTTGCATTTGCTTAGCATAAAACACATCTGTATTTTACTCCACATGCGCTGCCAAGGCCATCGCTTCAAGGAAGATGTCTGCCTAGAAATCCACAGGGTTAACACAAAAGGACAGCTTCAACTGCATGCCAATTACCTTTTGCCATTAAGCTAATGTTATGGACTTGCACAGGGTGTCTTCAATGGATTTTGTTATTAGCAGTGCTATTACCCCCCATTAAAATCAGCTATAAAGACTAAGTGCGGATGTTAAATTATTCACCCACTCCCAGACTTCAGAGTCTCAGTTGCAAGAGCGCGTGGGGGCTGTTGGAGGGTTAGCTCCACCATACCCCTCAATGTCCTTGCTCCCTGGAGCAGAGATTGCACCTGTATACATGGGGATTTGCAGAAGAGAGATCTATAGCAACACATGCAAAAAGCAACCCAATATATAGCTGAGCCTGAATGTTACAAAGCCGCAGGGCTGGCCTAAAACTTTAGAGCTTGACTTCTCCCTACAGGCTGATGCTAGATAAAATGGACACCCTAATTTCAAGCTCAAATTGCTCCGTGTTTCTGGTGGAGGAAAGTTTTGTATTTCCAGTGTTAGGAATCATAAAGGGAGATCTCTGCCATTCTTGGCATGATCTCAGTTTGCTTTGCAGAGCTGAGAGAGCAAGAGCAGCACTGCAGCTCCCACTCTCCATTCCCTGAGAGCCTTCATCCCGTTAAGTCTCCTTTAGCATTGCTGTATGCTGGCTCAGGAATATTAAATGTGCAGTCTCAAGAGGGCTGAATGGATAGCAGATTAACTGCTCCCAAAACTTTAAGTCCCCTATCGCGGAACAAAAGCCACGGCAAAACGCTGACCTGTGATTTTGTTAAGCACTTCTGTGAAACAAATGGGCGCCGCAAGCCCATCAAAGCTCTGCAGGGCGTGGGAACTCCTCTCCTGAGAATAACTTGGAAGGAAAGCCTTTTGGGCTTGGTGTCAAAACACAAGCACCCTAATTCTTCAAGATGTCCTGCTACCTCCCATTTATTTCCTCCAGCTGCAGCGCAACAGAAATCTCTGGATTTTCTAGTATTCAACAGGCAGATACCCAGGCTCAGTTCAAGTGTAGTAGCGTAGTGGGTTGCAAATGCATCCAGTACATTTGCACAGGAGGACAACACGGAGGTGTCAGTTAAGTATCTAGGAATGGGGTTTGTATTTGCAGCCCTGCTGAGCAGTAATATAATAATCAACATCTTATCTTGCTGTTTACTGGTCATACACATTTAAGACGTGTAACTCCTCAGACCAAAACCTCACTCTGTATTAGACTTGCAACTGTGATATCTGTCGTTAAGGTGTGTTGCCATCCAAATAACCAAATGAAGGAAAAGCAAACCAGTCTAAGGCTGGTTTTAATATAATGTTAAAGTTGCAGCATCAGACTCTCAGGAATTAGGTGCTGCCAGACTGAAAGTAGCTTCTGCACTCCTAAATCTGCTCCTTGCACTGACACACTGCAAGCCAGACTAATTACAGGATCACACATTATTATTCCTTTTTTCACGGGTGACCTCAATTCTGCCAATCCCTAACTTTTGACTTTGGCTGACTGACTTTTTTAATGCAATTCTCAATTAAGACAAAGGGTGGGGGGGGACCTTCAGGACCTCCATCTGTGTTTTGTGCTTCATGGAGGACTTCTGCCAAACTGAACCAAACCAAGCTGAGCTCTGGATCACTGGCAGGATTCAGGCTTTCAAGTCAACATCACAAACGCCTCCTTTGAGCTATCGTGAGGTAACTGACCCCAGCTGCTGCATAAATCAAGACTAAAAGGATAGATCCACGTGTCAGTGGGTTTTGCAGGTTTATCCAAGCACAGGAGCTCTTCTCCAGAGCATTTTGCCCATGGTTTCCCTCATCTTCTCCTCTTCCTTGAGCACCTTATCTATCGTGAGCTGGAGTTTGTGGAACATCCTGTGAGTTTACGTGCCATGTCCTCCCAAGCGTCTGCCCAGAGCCTACAAATGAGGTTCTTCAGAGGCAAAATGCAGTGGATTTTCAGGCGAGAAGAAAAAGGTATGTACCTGCCATAAAGTAACCTTGTCCTTCCTCGGCACTGCCAAATACGTTCTGCCCTCTCCCAAGAGCTGGGGGTAAATGGCAGAGAAAATTTTTTCGGCATGTGCAGAGCACATAATTGCCCCCCAGTATCAGTTTCTTGAATCCCTGAATGGCGTTGGCTGAAACGCAGGAACAAACATGACAAAGCACACGGCGGCTGAAGGCAGCTGCCCAGAGGGGACATTGCAGCCCCAAAAGTAAGTTCAGCAAATTGTAAATAAAGGCAAATGGGACTTCTAACAAATAAGTACTTCCAGACGCAAGCGGTTGCCTTGGAAAAGTGGTCACTTGGAAGGCAGCTGCCTGCACGCGGCAGCTGGGCTGTGAAAGGGATAATGAAATACCCCAACCCCTACTAATCATTTCTGTTGTCTCTGTTGAGAGTCAGCGGGTACTTTGGGGCCTGGGATGTTGCTGCGACTCTGCTGCGCTCTCATCTGGTGTGTCTGCTTCAGCTTATGCAGAAAAAAGAAACAACAAACCTTGTGCTGCCAGTAACCATTTTGCTTTAATAAAATATCAGTAACTCTAACATGCTGGGCCTGTCAATATGCCGAGATCGCTTTCCACTGCCATATAACCTAATCCAACGCTATTCATGCTATAATTAGCTGGTGTGTAACTCCCACCCAGTGGCATCACATCACACTTAAGACACCTAAAAGAGCATATTCCACTCCTGTACTTATTTGCATACTATTATGGTGTAGACACGGCACTTCTCTGTATGTCTTAATAACACCTGCTATTTCATTATCAACTGCATATTTAACAATTGCAAGTGTCCTGCTTCTGCCCAAACCATTAACACAAACACTAAGAAACCGGTCCTACCGCTGAACCATGAGGAATGTTATTTCCTCCTCATCTCCCATCAAGAATAAATACTGCTAACGCCAACCCTCTGTTCACCATCCACCAACCAATTATTTTAATAATGTTAAATTAATACTTGGCACTTTTATAGCATCTCTCATCTGAGGATCTCGAAGGGCTTTGCCTGGAGCTAATTAAACTTCACGACGCTTCTGCGTGGTTGAAACAATAACATGCAGGGATGGGAAATTGAGGCACAGATGCGTGTGTGTCAGAAAGCAGAGTAAAGCCCAGGTCTCCTGAGGATGAGATGGATGAAGGCTCTGGTCTGGGATCCAAGAGATCATGGTTAAATCCCAGGTCTGCCCTCTGGGACCTAAAGTAACCACATTCTGCAAACACCAGCTGCAGAGGGGTAAGGTTCTGTTCCACCTCTGCAACGAGATGCTATGGGCTCTTCTGCTTGGTCAAACCAAGCCCCGACTCCTCTCACCACCTCCAGGGTTTGTCCCTAAATATCCAAGGTCAAAAGGGTTAACGTGAAGCCCCAAAATCTTTGGAGAGGCTGAGAGAAGACTCAAGAGCTCCATGCACCTGGATAGACCAGGTACAGGATGAAGTGGGGTACTCCTCCACCTGCAAGCTCTTTGTTTTCCCCGTGAAGAGCATGGAAAACAAATAATTGTCAGCCTAACAGAAGGCGTATGTGCCATGTGCACGCTTCCACCTGCCTTTGCTTCTCAATGAAGATGCATCTTCACTATCCTGTTATAGAAAAAAATCCCTTAAACAACACCCTACACACACACACAACCTCCCTGTCCAAACAAAAAAAACCCAAAACAATAACAAAATGACCTTTATTTTTCATCCTGGCCTCTTTTTGGCTGTATCTTTTTTCCCTCCATGCCCAACACAGTGGGATCTTGAATTTTGCTGTACCCTCACCACGTGGTCCTGCAGACCCTCATCCCCATCCTATCAGTTTACCCTAAAGAGTCGCTCTCGTACTTCTCTGGAGCATTGCATCTCCTTTTCCTCCCACCTTGGGGTTGTGTCTTTGCCAGAAAGACCTCATGGGATCTGGACTAATGGTGATAACAGGTATTGCAGTCAAAAAACTAGCATATATTCCCAACTGAGTCTTTCTTGTTTATATCCATAGCTGTTTAAAAAAAAAGAAAATACTTTAATTCTCTTTTTTTCCTTTTTCTTTTTTCTCCTTCATTTTCCTAGAAGCAGACTAAAATATCCAACTTTTTGAATACGAGACCAAAAGAAAAATGTCAGTTTTCTGGCAACGGAAAAGGTCTTATCTGCAATTTGGTCAATTAAAAACAATTTTCAAGACAAAAGACTGGTGATTGGATCTGATCAGTCATTGCTACTCAGAACAGAGGGATTTTTTTTTTAAAAAAATGGCAATTAG